AGTTTTTCAGAGAGACCAACATTTCGAGTCGGGGTCCACAACAACACAAGGAAACCCGGGTCAAAGGAAACGTCGTGATGATGCGCGTCGTAACGTTGCTTCTACGTTACGAGAAACAGAAAGGATGGAGGAAAGGTGGTCGAGGCGTGTTTCGAAGGTTGGGGAAAATACAATGACGTCGTCAAAGTAACATAGGCAAATTGACCACTTGAACTTGTGCAACAGAGTGTCCATCATTCACTCGAAGGTGGCTGGAGCATTGCATAATCCAAAAGGCATGACCTTAAACTGGTAAAGACCATCAGGGGTCACAAAGGTAGTCTTTTCACGGTCCATGTCCTCGACAACAATTTGCCAGTACCCTGATCGAAAGTCGATGGAGCAAGAATACTTAACGCCATGAAGGCAATCCAGGGTGTCGTCAATCCACGGTAGCGGCTAGACGTCTTTTTTAGTGATCCGGTTCAGGTGTAGGTAGTCAACACAAAATCGCCAACTGTTGTCCTTTTTTTTTTACAAGAACAAAAGGGAAAACCCATGGACTAGAAGATGGCTCGACTATGTCTTTGGTGAGCATCTTGTTGACTTCCTTTCGAATGATCTGACACTTCGCAGGAGAGACACGTTACGGCTGTTGATGTACCGGAGATGCATCGCCGGTGTTAATGCGGTGCTTCACAACGCTGGTTTGACCTAGCGGACGGTCACAGAAGTCAAATACGTCCAAGTACGATTCCAGGATGTGACAGAGTGCGTCAGTTTGATGTGGGAAAAGGTCCGCCGAGATCATTTTTTTCACATTAGAAGATGGACTGGCTATCGAAGAACAGACTTGCATGCAGTTGGGGCGACGCACATCATTGGGGTACAAAGCTGAGATGATTCAATCCTCAGAGGGTGTCAGCGTGGCGAGGGCTATTCCACACGGAAGCACTTGCGGACACAGAGCAAAGTTCAGCAAATAGATGTAAGCATGGTTTTCCCGTAACGGAATAGTAGTGTGCGGAAAAGTAACACTGTGAGTGAGAAGGACGGATGTAATGGGCGTGAGCACGTAGTCTCCATCAGGTACAGGTGGCGACAGTGTTACAGCAATGCAGGTAAGTGTTTGCGGTGGCAAACGAACATGTTCAGCAGATCACAGACTAACGTGGGGCGGGCTGAGCGTATCAGTTGTACAAGGCAGGTCAAGTTCCACCGTGCCAACTGAACACTCGATGGGTGGACAAAAAGTCTATACCGACAATAACATCATTGGTGCAGTTGGTGCGAACAGTGAAGAGGACGGAGGTTTGATGGCTGGCTATAGTAACGTGCGCTGTGAAGACACCAACAATGGCAGCTGCACCGCCGTCAGCAACACGAACGTAGCATGAAGGAGCTGGAGTCAAGACTTTCTTTAAGAAGTCACGAATGTGCGAGCTCATAACAGAAATTTGGGCACCAGTGTCGAGTAAAGCTTTAACAAATAAGCCATCCATTTTTACATCAACAAGGTTCTGGTTCGTTGGGATGGTCAACAGAGGAATTGTCGGGCAAGTCGTAGCAGCAGTGTCACCCCAGGAGCTGCACCAGTTAGTTTCCTGAAGGAAACCGTCGGGCAAAGGATGGAGATGGGGAACAGGGTGACGGAGGAGACCGCGAGGATCTACGTCGTGGTGAAAGCGAGCGTCTGTACTGGGCATTGGTCGTAGCGGTCATGTCGTAACGAGCTGAGCCATCACGGCATGGTGGTTCTTAGCCAGAAGAGTGGGTTGATGTGTCGAAGTTCGTGAAGTTTGGGCTTGCGCGTGAAGGTGAGGTCCACGTGCTTCGGCATGCAATGACGTGAAATGTGTCCCACTCGTTCGCACCGGGAGCAACTTGGCCTTTCGTCAGGCGTCCTTCATGCGTTTGGATCTCGGTTGCGTGGAGCAGGACGGCAGTAGTGCTGACGGGTTTTCAAGGTAGGCGGATGGAGATCGGGTCGGTACACAAAACAGATCGTCGGAAGGCCCGCGTTTGTCAATTCTTGGCGCACAATGCTCTGTATGAGGGATATGGTGGGTTGAGGATCATTCAGCGTCAGGACCCACAAGGGTGCTGCTGGCATCGCTTCGATTTCGCGTCGAACGGCCCTCGTAATGTCAGCAGAGGGTGGATTGGACTGGGTCTTGAAACGGATGTCCTCACAAGTTGACGTTGCAGTGGTGTTAGGAAGATGCAGCGATGTTAGAAGTGGTGGGCAATGTGATGGCTTTTAACCTCTTGAAAGCGTCGGCACTCCGTAATGACGTCTTGAACTGTCGAACAGCCTTTAAATACAAGGAGTTTAAAGGCATCATTAGCGATGCCCTTCAGTACGTGCGCTACCTTGTTGGCTTCAGTCATAGCGGTATCAACCTTACGGCAGAGGGTCAAGACATTTTGAGTATAGACCAAATAATACACCGTGGATGTCTGGACGCGGGTACAAAGTTCTTTCTTAGCGGCCTGCCTTCACCCGGCAGGTTGGCCGAACAACTCGCACAATTCCATCTTACAGATGTCCCGGCGGGTGAGCTCTTCCACGTTGTTGTTGAACCACGCCTTGGCCGTTCCTTTCAAGTAAAAGATAAAATTTGCCAGCATGATGGTTGGGTACCACCTGTGATTTTCACTTACAAGCTCGTAGTGTTGAAGCCACTCATCGACATCCTCACCGTCAGTGCCCGAAAAGTTGCCAGGATCGCGGGGTAGAGTGGTCACAATGACCACAGGTGAGGTGGGCGCCGTTGGTGCGTTGGGCATGGCTGTTGACACAGCATCTCGGTCGGTAGACATGTTTGAAGGGGCAAGTTGGCGTCCGCTGTGAAACTCCGTCGTGCTTTGCTACCCTGCACCTTCCACCAAAATGTTACGGGAGGGCACACAGGGAAACGAGGTGATAGTTGAGATATATTTCCACGACACCAAGCGTACGCCATGATGGCAAGAGAGAGCGTGCCCCACATCCCAGAATCGCGTCGTCTTTCTCGCTGTCTCTCTTGCTTCTTCAGCGCGGTGTAGCCTCGTAACAGTATGTACAACTCAATACAGCGCACATGCAGTAAAATTCTCAGCTTGCTGATCAACTCCAATGCAACTATGCTTACTGATTCGAAATGTCATTTGCGTGCTCAAGTTTCGCGAATGAAGCATTCTCAGTGATGACTAATCGATGAACGCATCTGACGGTGGTACGTGCTGAGTAATTGCTTCCTTTTTGGCCATAATCGAGCATTCTAGTGCTGTTGCTGCGTGTCTTGAATAGAAAATGCAAGCCCCGAAGAAAACAAAAAAACGTATTTCGAAGTGCCTTCTTATCTTTAGAACTTTGAGTGGGCATTTTCCCGACGTTTCGAAATGCATATGGTTCAGTTCAAAGAGGGGAGACACGAACCACCTCTCCCCATCTTCGGCTGTGGCCAACACATTCGGAGTGTGAGGAGTCAGCGAGAGTTTTAGGAGCTTGCTCCTTTTGCTGGGGGGCTGTGTCTTGTCGTTGTGCCGGTGTGTATGCTAGTGCTCATTGCTAGAGGCGCAGCTGGGCTCTTCGTTTCAAGAGCGCTCACTAGATGGTGCACCCCAGCAGGCGAGGGTTACAGCCAGCAGCATGGCGGGATTCCACTGCCTTACTCGCGAGTGCACCCTGCGCAGGCGGAACCAAGAATGGTGATAGCGCACAGCCCAATACCTTGCCAACAGACATATATACCTTCCTCGCTGACAGCGGAGCAGGCCACGTCATTGCACAGCAGGGCTCACGGCGACATTTATCAAATAGTGGGGGACATGATACGTCAACACACACTGAAGTGTGAAAAGCTATACCGAGCTATGACCGCAGAGCACATCCTGCTCTATGCTGTAGCTGAAACCCATCTCTGGGAGCTCGAGGAGCCACCTATAATTCATGCCGATGGGAGATGGGAAGGCAAAAACAGAACTGGTCATGGTTGAAAGGGAGGGGGTGTGGGCTTCCTGTGGAGACGTGAACAAAAGTGGCAGCGAGAGGACAGGGACTGTGCTGACCATTTGTGGATGACGGGTGACTTGATAGGGATACCAGTAGCAGTGTGTTTGGTGTATTTCGCTGTCAAGGGTGTGCACTATGAGGAAAATGAGCAACTGTTGGAGTGTGTCCTTGGAGATGCGGAACGCCTAGCGAACTGGAGGGAAGTGCTCATCTTGGGAGACTTCAATGGACATATTTCCAAGCTGGATGGCTATACAGATGCGAATGGCATACTGCTTACTCAACTGGCAGAACAGCTTCAGCTGGAATTCCACAACACTGCTTCATGTTGCGATGGCCAAACAACTTGGTGTGCTCAAGGAAGCGGCACGTCTATCGACTACGCCCTGGCGTCCGATGGGCTGGCAAAAGCCCTACGATTACTCCACATAGATGAGGAGGGAATGCATAGCATCGGGAGCGACCACAATCGACTTCGGCTATATTTCTCCAAAGCCTAACACCGAGAGCCAGACTCGAAACAAAGATTCACCTCTAATAGGTATCTGCCAGTGAGCTCACTTGAAAAAGTGGCGGAGCAATTCGAAAGGAGCCCAGAGAGAGAGAGAATGCGAAAACATACGAAGAGTATGTGTCAGTACTATAGTACTATGTCATATAATGGAAAGGCATTAAGTCACTAATGGCACAAGACCAGCTCGCTACGGCCGAAAACTCTGGTGGGACATGGAAGTTGCTAAAGCGTGGCATGCACGGCGAGAAGCAAATCGCTCTCATTGTCAGGCAGTCAAAATGAAAGATGCAGTGCAAACCGACGTCACATGGCAGCGTTACTTTCAACTCAAGCGCGACATGCAGGCTCTTGTGCAGGTGAAACTTTGTAGGTTCAATATGCTGTTCCTGCAAAAGCTGAAATCAGAAGGCAAAAACGCGGCCCAGAAATTCTAGAACTATGTTCAAACATTGGACCGGAAGGAGCAGTCTACTCAGTTCATTCTAGAGCACTGGCAACCCTGCCCCGGACATGGAGGAGGCCTTGACAGAGCACCTGAAGACTCTGTATGGGTCACTTGGGTGTACGAAGGACCACCAGGTCGATGACAGGAACTCCCAAGGTGTAGAAGAAAGTGTCGTACAGGGTTCCCCGGAGGAAGGGGCCCCGAAATGGGAAATATGCCGCATCTCTCTGGACCGTGCTTTTCCCCGACTCCGAGCCCACACAGCCCCAGGGCCAGATGGCATCCCAGCGCGCTTAAGTGCGTTGTACAAGAATCGAAAGAGCATAGCTAGCCTGTTCAACGACATCTTTGCGGGAGTGGACATTCCAGCGGACTGGCAGCGAGGCAGAGTCGCCCTCATACTCAGACGTGGAGGCAAGGCAGGAAACCTCCAGGACTACCGGCCACTCACAGTCACCAGCACTATGTACCGGCTTTTTACCCAGGTGCTTAAGGGCTAGATCAGTGGATGGGCTGAATGTAAAGGGCAGCTTACAGAGCTGCAGAACGGTTTTCGCAAGGAGTGGCGAATAGATAAAGATCGCCAGGAAACAAGGACGCTCATTGTTATGCTGCTTCATGGATGTCCAAAAAGCCTACGACAATGTCCCACATGATATCTTGTTCACTCGTCTAGCCGCACTGGGTATGCCGGAGAAGCTATTGGCGACAGTGAGGCGTCTCTAAGCCAACAATAGCATCATTGCCCGATTCGCTAATGTGAAGAGTGAGCCGGTAAGCGTCTGCAGGGGTCTTCTGCAGGGATGTCCGCTTTCACCTTGTTGCGAAAGACGGCGATGCCAACACGGTCCCAAGGCGCCACTGCTTTCAACTCCGCCGGGAAGGTAACCAGCCGTTTGGTAGCGTATGTTTCTCAGCTCGCGACTGCTTCTGCGCAGAGCCGATAAGACGAGCGGACGAGACGACGGTGAGTTAAACAAGGTTTATGTACAGCATATATACAGAGGCGTTACAATTTCGGCACTGGGGCCGACAGAGACTCGAAGAGCCGAGCTCTCCTCTCTAACACATAGGTCAGCCTTTCGCCTAAGACCGCTGACTCACACACATGTCGGCTCTCCGACATGGGGACTCCTCTCTCTAGGACTGCCGATCGCGACGCGCCGCAGGGCTTCTTTTATTTACACCGGGTCCAACCAAAATGTCCAATCAGAAGCGCCGCTGGTCGTCCGGGCAGATTCCGCCAATGGGGCCGCCGCGCCATGCGTCAGACCACCTGACACGAGGACGCCGGCTCGCTGTCACGTGCGCAACTGACTCACTGCACGTGGGCCAGAGGAGCGCCGCGCGTGTTCACGCCGTCGAGGTGATCGCGCCAGGCAGACTGCGGGCTGGCCTTGACCCAGATTGCCTTTTTCAGAGGCACGGTCGTTTGACGAGGACTCGCTGGCATAACAGCACCCCCGCCGCCAGACAATGCACCGGAAAGACGAGCTGCTTCCACGGGGCTCGGATGTCAGGTGCGCTCGTTCGCCAGGTCCCTCCAGGTTCGCCTCCAGGGCCATGGGGAGACTACAGCTCCAGACTGTTCCGGGTACACATCCCATTTTGACGACGGATCCCAGCCCCACTGGCTTGTCGCCACAACTTGCTGACCAGCTTCACTCGTCTCTTCTGACCATCTTCGGTTTCAGCACTTGTCGATGGTTCTGCAACTTGCCAAGAACGGATCGACAACAGACAACACACGACACACGCAAGTGCCTTCGGTCACCCGACAGAACACCAGACAAAGTATAGTACAACATATACCTATCTACGTGTCTATCGGAATTTTGTTCCCTCTACATCAAGAGGCACATATGGGACACAAGACTCTTAAAATGACAACTCAATTTTTTTTCCACGTACAACAACGTAACGAATTAGAATACCACATAAAGTTGGCCCCTTGAGATCACTCTGAACGAGAGCGCTCAGCCCAGGTCGTGATGAGGTCAAAATTTTGCCCCGAATCGCCAGCGAGAAACCGAAAGGTTGAGAAGTTACTAGCTGGAACGCACTGCTCAATGCACCTGCATTAGCGTTTACCTTTCCCTTTTTTTTTCTTTAGCGAACGTCAAAGTTGCGCTGTGGAGCAACATGCTCCACCTCAGTAACCGGCCACTTTTAGGCGACGATACCTATGCGGCACCAAGAGCGGCTCACACTTGCGACGTTGCACAGGGGAACAACGATACGGCTTGCTACTGATTGACTCCTCACCGCTTAGCTCGATATCGTGTTCGATCACCCTCATGTTTCCGGGGCGGTCCGAAAACACGTCTTCAAACTCGGAACCAATCTTTCTCAGATCCTCTTTCTCAGGTCCTCCTTCACTTAAGCTAGGCTCTAGGTTTATCTCCTCCCGGATTACTTTCGATCCCCTTTCAATTACCTCACTAGAACTCAAAATTTCTGCTTCCTCTTCCTCTGAAGCACTTAAGAGTAAATTTACGACTGCTTTCAAGTTACTGTGATAAATTTTGTTCGGCCGCCTTCCTAATTTCTCTTCACAATTGGTATCAGAAAGCTTCGATACTACTTTTGCGGGCCCTTCCCAATCAACCTCAAGCTTGTTACTCTTGGACGGCTGCAGCAGCGTTACCTGATTATCAACTTCAAAAGCACGCTTCTTCACCGATTCCTCGTAGTGCTCCTTCGACAGCACTTTTGCCGCGTTTTTCTGGCTTTCCACTCGCACTTCAATTTGGCTTTCCACTAGCGCTTCAATCGAGAAATCCTCACGTTGCTCTCGAATGAGCGTCTCTCGATCAACTCTCGGCAGCTCGCTCCAACTTTCCGCTACAGGCGAGAGCGTTGCAACCCTCTCGCTCTGACTCAATGGCGCCATGTCGTCTCCCCTTTCTCCGGAAACCGCGCAGCTAGGTTCGGCGACGGGCCGCTCGCGTGACTGCTCACATGACTCATGCGGAAACTTTCCTTTCTGGGGTTCCGTCGACCCGCCGACAAGGTCACTTGAGAGTTCACCGCATGGAACCAGGTCAAGCTTCCGCGAAAGCTTTCGCGCTTGCGATCGCGTGAGGGCCATGCACGCTAAGTTGGGGAAGAACGATTTGCCCTGCTCTTTGAGAAGCTGCTCCGAGTTGTTGGAGAAAAGATAAGGAAAACGATCATTTAGCGCGGCAGACACAGCTGCTTCGGTGCGAAGCTTACCGAACGGGCCTTCAATGACAACCGTGGCGATAGGTAAGCAAGCACTCTGCTCCTCGGCGACTTGCCTGATCCACGCGCATTCTCCTGTAAAGTCATCCGGGGACACCAATGAAGGATGGACAACATCCATGGTTGCCGCGGAGTCTCTAAGTGCTCGACACGCTTTCCCATTCACACTAATTTCTTGGATATACGGCTCCAACAACCGCATGTTCTTTTCCGATTCTCTAATTGTTGCAAAAGCAAACTTTTGCTTACAGTTTATCGCGATGTGCCCTTCCTTTTTGCAGTTGTAGCAGATTAGTGGCTTCCGTGATTCAAACGCCCGTGTGGTATCAGTGCGTTGTTTAGAGACCTCACTCGATTTTTCCGCTTCTGTTTTCCCTTCCTCTACAGTGTCCTTCGTAAGAGACGGGTCCTTTTTGAAATTACGGTGCGGAGCGGGTTTCCGTTGATCAGGTTTCTTTGAAAAGCCCTCTTTTCTTTCATCCTTTTCAACGCGCACTGCCCTGCTATGCAACTTTCGGCGAGTATAATACTCCTCAGCTAACTCTGCTGCCTTGTTTAGCTGTACTTCACCAAGTTTGTCCTGCAGCCAAAGTTTAACATCCTCCTCGATGCAGCGGTAGAATTGCTCCAATGCAACGCATTCCACCACTTTATCGCGGTCGTCATAAACACCTTCGCCCTTGAGCCATTCAATCAAATCGGCTTTAAGACGAAACGCGAAGTCAACGTGTGACTCATTCCCCTTTTTAGCATACCGGAACCTTTGCCTGAAAGCCTCGGGTGACAATTTATAACGTCTTAAGAGCACTTCCTTAACCTCGTCATAGCTCTCAAACGCTTCCCTCGACAAGCAAGTTATCGCGTCGGACACTTCGCCGGGAAGAAGAGCTAGCAGGTTCCGCGCCCAAAGACACCGCTCCAAAGCGTTTCGCTCACAGACGTGTTCAAACTTGACGAGATACTTCGCCATGTCCTCGCCTACTACGAACGGTGGCAGTTGGTCCCGAATTCTAATACCGCTGACCTGAATCGTCGGAGAAGCTGCGCTAGGCGCCTGCGAACACTGTAGGATTGCCAATTCTATTCGTTTCATCTCGAGGCGCTCCTGTCTCTCGGCCTCCTCGCGCTCGCGACGTTCGCGCCTTTCAGCCTCTTCACGTTCGCGAGCTTCTCGCCTTTCTTCACGTTCGCGAGCTTCGCGCCTTTCTTCACGTTCGCGAGCTTCGCGCCTTTCAGCCTCCTCACGTTCGCGAGCTTCTACTTCTCGCCTTTCAGCCTCCTCACGGCGTGCTTTGATATCCACCCAGGCCTCATCGACTTCCTCAGCCGACACTCCCTCATCCTTCATGATCTCAAGGATCGCTTGCTTTCGTTTCGCACGGCCCAAAGTAATGCCGAGTTCCTCACAAATTTCGATGAGTTCCTTCACTTTAAGGTTCTCCATCGTTCACACTAGCCTCTTGCTGTTTGCCCCTGTTAAGAATCTACTTGCCGTACCCACTATAAGCCTACTAGCAAGACGCGCAAGCAATTTTTCACACTCCCGTGTTTACCCCCTCCGCATTAACTTTGGTTTCAAAGCGCTTCGACTTGGCTTGAAACGATCAAAGCTCACTTCAATGCTTCACACAGCCCTTCTCTAAACTACTACAACCTGAGCTAGAGTAGTCTGGTGAACTGAGGGGAAAACATCAGGCACTCACCGCATCGATGTCGCTGACGCCGGCCGATCCCGCAGCTGCCAACCACTGTTGCGAAAGACGGCGATGCCAACACGGTCCCAAGGCGCCACTGCTTTCAACTCCGCCGGGAAGGTAACCAGCCGTTTGGTAGCGTATGTTTCTCAGCTCGCGACTGCTTCTGCGCAGAGCCGATAAGACGAGCGGACGAGACGACGGTGAGTTAAACAAGGTTTATGTACAGCATATATACAGAGGCGTTACAATTTCGGCACTGGGGCCGACAGAGACTCGAAGAGCCGAGCTCTCCTCTCTAACACATAGGTCAGCCTTTCGCCTAAGACCGCTGACTCACACACATGTCGGCTCTCCGACATGGGGACTCCTCTCTCTAGGACTGCCGATCGCGACGCGCCGCAGGGCTTCTTTTATTTACACCGGGTCCAACCAAAATGTCCAATCAGTACATCTTTGCTACAGAAATGTACATCTTTGCTACAGAAATGAGTTCGCTGGGCTTACACTTCACCGCAAAAAAAAAAAAACAAGGCTGTACCCATTTGCTGACAACATCGCTGAAGCTGTATATCTCAAGC